TTTATAATTTTATTTATAATTCTATATGCTTTCAGTTTCGTTAACTGTGATTTCTGTGCTCGTTTTTTGACTACAACTTTAAGGATAATAAATATATCTAGATATTGAAAGAAGCGCTCAATAAATTTTACGGACAATCAGTTCACGCCTCCGTCTCAATTGTCGTTCTGTACGTTTCCGTCCCAATGCAGAAAATGCCCTCGCAAATTTTAAACGATGGCAGTGGGTCTGGCAGCTTGCACAATGCGGCTTCATTGCTGGGCGCTTCCCCAAATGCCATTACAGTGAAGACTGCCTACAATGGTCAAGTGATCATAACGACTATAGACAAAAACATTACCTACGAGGATCTATGCTATGAGATACGCAATATTTGTCGCTTTCCCATCGATCAGGTGATTGAGATTATACTCGTGTTCATATGTTGATTTCATTGTAATTGTGTTTTACTGTCTGTTGTAGCCCTTTACCATCAAGTGGGTCGATGAGGAGAATGACCCGTGCACCATATCAACGGACATGGAACTGAATGAAGCCATACGATTATACGAGATGAATTACGATTCCCAGCTAGTTATACATGGTAAGTGAAACAGTTTAGCTTATCGTATATATGTATATCAATATGTTATATATACATACATGTATATTTATTATACTGTAAGTACATTATTTGCTTAATAAGATAAGATGTTTTTATAATTCCACGTAATATTGAAGACACAATGCGAAAAGTTTTGTGTCACTCATATGGCTTATTCTTGGATGTCGTAAGGCATAAAAAATATTCAGATTCTTAGGAAATACCGATGTAAAAACAATCAGATACTTTATATATACATATACATATATATAAAAAAAAGAAGATATATATTCAAACTTTTACATATTCACTTCACACATCATTTCATTATCAAAGTAATTGAAATATAAAAGCTGTTTCTTATAATATAAATGATTGTAATTATGATTATTATCATTACCTGAATGAAATCTATGCATCCTATGTATTGCATATAATGTATTTCATTTAAGTAATCATAAACTTATTCATTTATTTATATTATGTGATTATGCTTTTACAAAGTGTTTGTTTGTTTTTTGTTTGCTTTGTTTTTGTTTTTTTTTTTCCTTGCAAACTTTGCATATATTTGTAAATTATATTTGGAATGCTTATTTGTTAATGCGCTTCACGTGTTGGCTAAATGCATTTTGCCAAGTTAAGTTAAACTGCGCCAGTTGGCTTTATGCCGTGCGCAGTCTGTCTTTAGGCCCCAACTGTTCATAAATTGAGTTTTTCTCTTATTCTAGTAAAAGCTTCATGAAAGTAAAAAAAAACTTTTTAATTTACAGATTCAATTTGTAATTATTAAAAGTGCTTATCGAAAATTATAGAATATGTATATACTGTATGTATATACTGTATTACAAATAATAGTTAAGTATGATATAATATATAATATCATCTATATCAATAATTTCATAAGCTTCATAAGTTCGGTAGTTTTTGAGAGTTAGGTAATATATACCAAAATCTTACTTAAAATGCTCATATAAAAGTTTTAATAATTAAGGTTAGGTAGTTCTAATATATAAATATAAGTTTAAAATATTTCTAAATGTTAACATATTAAATAAAATAATATTTATAGTATTATATAATTCTTATGCCTTCTCCAATGTGAAGATATATAAATGATATTCGGAACATTTTCTAGAGCGTACAGCTCTGGCTATAAATCGTATAAAATAAGTTAAGTAAGGTTTCAAATATAAATAAATCTTAAAGTTAATAACGATTGAATGAGTTTACATTTACCAACTCTAAATGGTTTCTTGGACTAGTTCCACCCATAATAATGTAAACAAAACCCGTTAATTAAGCAGTAAATTTATAAAACGAGCATGTTTTTGGCCACAACAATTCTTTGAATTGTGGCTTAGGTACATGTGTGCATAGCTAAAAAGGGATTTGTTTTATGTTGCCAAAAGGATGTTGTTAGTTGGGGCGAGTAAATAACACACACACACACACATGCACACACATTTTGCGTTTGTTTGGCTTAAGCGAAAACTATGCAAAAGTTTTCTATAATTTTGTTTTAAATTTCAGAAATTTCATTACCAACGTTGGCGTTCATTGGCGCCTGTTGAAGTAGGTCGCCTTGCCTGCTGGGCCTTTAGGTATATGTAGCACAATTTAACCGCAATTTTGTGCACAGTTTTAGCCTGGTTAAACAATATGTTGCTGCTGCTGCTGCTGCTGCTGGCGCTCGTTGCTTTATTAGCCCAATAAACCGTGGCTGGCATTGCCTTTTGGCTTACGCCCGCAGCTCCCTGTGGGCCGACAGCATGCGCAAATTCAAACAGCAGTCGGCCATGTTAATAACATAAAATATTAATTAACTTGTGCAGGCAAATACATTATAGACACACACACACACATACACACACACACACACACGCTTGGCTGCGGGCTAAATGTTTTAGCTCGTCTTTGCTCCTTTAGCAGAGTTTACTGCTTTCGCTCGTATCTCTCCTGTCTTTTCGCTGCTGTTCTTAAATGTTTTTTTTTTTGTTGCTCTCATCATATCTGCCCTTTGACCCGATTTGCTGCTGCCGGCTTCGTTTATAATTCATTATAATTAAATTGTTTGCTGGCAGCTCGGTTAGCTGCGTTTTCAAAAATTCAATTTTTCTGCGGCTTATTTGAGCTGCTTAGGCAGTGCAAGCACGCCTCAAAGCATACACACACACACACACTCACACTCACTCACTCACATACTCAGGCACTCCATCTGCTTAGTTAACTGTCTGCGCTTAATTATCCTTGCCGCAAAAAGTTTTTGGCTTTCGCCCCATTCGAAATTTGCCTAATGACAAAAACAAAATGTTTCGACAACAACAATAAATAACTGTAAAACACGTACAACAACAAAATGAGACAACACCAGAATTTTATTATGTTTTTGCTACCAAATTAACATTTTACAGGCTTACAGTTTTTTGTTTTTATTTCTTTTGCTTTTAACTTTTTCCGGTTTCTTGCAATTAGTAAAAAAGGGTTGCTTAACTCTTAATACATTTTAATTTAAAATTTTGTTGTAAAGAGTCGATTTATTATAGAAGCTTTACGAGAATTTTTTGGATATCAAAGAAGTAAAAATTATTTAAGTAAATTATTATTTTTTTGTAACAAAAATTAATGTGTTTCTCTTTTGATTTTATTATACATAAATATGTATTTTGTACATTTTTAGTAAGAGGGCGAAATTAAATACCTACAATAAATCTAAATAAA